GACCAGACCTCAGGGAAAATTTAGGATTTTTAAGCTTTAACAACAGTTATAGTAGTGCGAATTTTGCTCTTTATCTACTAGATGTATTTACAAACTTTTCTATAAACAGAAACACTGAACTAAGACCTATGTGCACGGCTCAGTAATACTACAGAAATTAAAGGAAGGAGGCAGAGAAAGCAAAGGACATAAATAAACTGGGGGCTCCAGGGTCACTCGTTGAGTTTACAATACAACCCTGTTGCCTGTGTCCGTAGGACCAATGTGCTGAGTGAGCACTTGATATTGGTAAAGCATCACCTCTTCTCCCTAGTCTCTAAATCTGGCTCCTATTCCCATCACTCTGCTCAAATAGTTCTCTTTGGTGCAATAACATCATCTTTGTTTAAATCTCCCTTGCTTTATCTGCCCTCCTCATCAAGGTCAGCATCTTTCTTGTGTGTATTAGTCAAGATAGGCAAGGATATGCTGCAGTAACAAATAACCCCAAAATTTCAATGACTCAAAACAATAAGGATTCATTTCATGCTTACATCACATGTCCATAGCAAGTCAGCTGGGCTCTGCTCTGCATCTTCCTCCCTCTGGGACTCAAGCACACTGAATGGTCGCTGCCTGGGATATTGCTGGATGTTGTGGCAGAGGGGACAGTGAGCTCTGCAGGGTTGCACACGCGTAGTGAAATGCTTTGGCTATGAAGTAACACACTTCCACTCACAACTCATTGGCCACCTAATCACACGGTCTCACCCCAACAAAAGGAGCCAGAAAATTCAATCCTACTATATTCATGGAAGGTGGAGAGCAGGAAATATTGAGAATCTGATCAAAATCTCAGACTTTTTAATTGCATATAGTGCATTAAGACACCATTTCTCCAAATGGAGTGTTGGATCCACAAAGCTTGTAGATTCTATGGTGCCTCCCAGCGGGCAGGACCGGGGTGGAGGCGACTGAGGGGTTACCTGTGGACACTGGGCATTGCACCTGGAGCCCGAAGCCTAGAGACATAGGAAGGACCTTTGGATCTGAGGGCAGTGGCATCCAGCGCAGAGGTGACAGACACAGTGATCAGCACACACGGACGACAACACCATGCTCACTGCCATCTTCCTGACCTGCTTCAGCGGCGGACACAGGCACAGCCCTGAGGAAGGCAGGCTGGCCGCCTTTCCAGGAAACCACAGCAAATTACTGATTTGTTGAGAATGGTAAGTAGGAGCTCAGAGCAGATTTAGAAAAGAAAGGGACATTTTTCTTACCTCGGTTTTGTAGAGCAGTTTGTGAACTTGTAGGAGTTCCATGTGACATTCTCAGCACAGGTGGGAAGTGCAACAGCAAACGCAGGCCCAGGCCACGTCTGTTACAGACTGGTCCTGCAGGGGGATGGAGCCTTCTGAGTTGACTGAGCTGTGCACAGGACATTGGCAGGCAGAGATGCACTCACTGACGGCTAACAAGGAAGCAGGCTTGAGGAACCAGAATAATATCATTTATTATGTGGGGAACATTTATGATGTGCCAGGCACTGAACTCCCCTTTTACTCTACTCAGCAACTGTTGACTAGGAGCTATCATCCCATTTCTCAGATGAGAAAACTGAGGTACAGGGCATTTACTAACCTGTACAACAGCAAACCACCTGTAAAAGCTGAGGTGACATTTGAGGCCAAGGTCCATCAGGTTCTAAAAGCAGATAGAGGTGTCAGTCTATCAGCCAATGTCACTTGAAGCTCAAATATAGCAGGTAAGGTCCCCTCCCTTTACACATGGGATGAGGGTTTCTGAGCATGAACTCTGGTACTGGCATCTCTCTGGGGCGAAGGCCGTCATTTGAGCCTGTTCCCCACGTAAAGGAAGGAGCATAGATCTCAAAGGATACCACGCGGATCAAATGGAATAAAGTGGTAAAGCACGTAGCCCAGCATCTGACATATAGGAGATGCTCAATAAATGCTTTCTAAAACAACATAATGGCAATCATACAACAAAAGCAGCAGCGAAAACCAGGCACTAATGCTCGAGTCTAATGCAGTCCTGGAGTCTCACAGTAATAAATCCTGCGACGGAAAGCTTGGCCTCGCGGGTGAGTAAGCGTGGGGTGAGGCGAGGCCAGTGTTCCTCCTTCTGGGGTATCTTTGCAACAGTGATGGCGAACCTATGACACACGTGTCAGAGGTGACACGCGAACTCATTGTTTTGGTTGTTTTTTCTTTGTTAAATGGCATTTAAATATATAAAATAAGTATCAAAAATGTAAGTCTTTGTTTTACTATGGTTGCAAATATTAAAAAATTTCTATATGTGACACGGCACCAGAGTTGAGTTAGGGTTTTTCAAAATGCTGACACGCCGAGCTCAAAAGGTTCGCCATCACTGCTTTGTGAAGTCAGCGGGAATCGGAGGCCACGCGTCTACTGGGATACAGTGTAGCGGGCACTACGCTCACTCGACAGCTCTGAGGTCCCTTATTTTTCTTTTCAGTTGTGTGAACGTACAAACACTGTACAGTTTAAGAACACATGTGAAGCCATTACGGCCACTGCTCTGTCGGTCCCGGGGCCGCCCCCTGCAGGTGAGTGAGTGTCCTGCAGTCTTTCTGATCACAGGCATCAGTCCTTGGCCCACGTATGTTAACGCTATTTCTCAGATCACACAGGCTTCCTCACGCCCACACCTGGCTCTGCCAGCAGCAGCTCTTCTCCGGGGTTGGCACCTTTTTTAAAGACATTTCCAGCTCCCTTGCAGTGGCTTCTGCATCTCATTCCGTTCTTGGTAATTAGCTCTCCCACTGCACCCAGCCCTGTGGCTGCCTCCCTGCACCTCTGCAAAATCCCAGGCGGGCCCCTGCCTCAGCCCACGAGGACACTGCCAGCTGTGCACGCCTCCCTCCAACTTCCGCTTCAGAAAACACTCCGCTACCTTCCACATCTGGCCATTCCTTAAGTGCTTCTTATAACAACCGTGCCTCACTGAGACCGGCTTGGGCCTTTGCTGAGCCCGTCCCTCTGTGTTTCCTGGTTCTTGGACCTCATTACCCTCCCTCCCATCTGTGACCAGTTTGTCTGACGTCCCTGCCACATTAAGATGGTTGTTCCCAGGTGTGTATTCCGCAAACACGTTGCTTCTCGGGCACAAGCTTGTTGCCCAGGCTGCTCCTGCTTCCGTGTCCTGCCAGGACGGCCGTTTTGCTGGTCTTCTCAGATCTGCCCCCAGTGGAGGGAGTCTAGCTGGCCCGAGTCCTGTTATCCTCTGTGCTTTCCTGGGAAATGTGTGTCCCCTGGTCCCGGGGAGGCAGCCATAGCAATACCTCAGGGCAAGAGTCCTGAGGACAACAGCCTGGGTCCACTCAGAGCCTGTGAGGCAGGAATCCAGTGTTTCCACCAACGAACAGTCACAGGTGAACTTCAGGCGCTGTGTAGCCAGGGAGGGGACAGTGAACAGTGACATACACCGTCCTGAGCCGCCAGAGGGCCCAGCTCGAAGAGAGCAGCAGAGGGTTGGGCTGAAGACTTCAGTCCTAGGTCCTGCAAGATAAGATGCCTTCCGAAGTGAAAGGACAGCTGTGGCCGATGGAGAAGGAGAAAGGGGCCCTGGGAGGACAGTATCAGAGCAGAGGCTGTACGACTCTCCGTATCAGAGTGGAGTTTGTACGACTCTCCATCAGGGCGGAAGTATAAGCTCCTTGTGACAGGAGCTGTCTCTTGCTGGCCACTGCATGCACCCCGTGCCAGCCGGGCTGCGACGGGCAATTACACCTTTGGCTGACTGAGTGGAGGCATTAGCACAGACATCCACGGGGGTGACCTGACAGGGAGAATCACCAGGATTAGTTGCCAATTCAACTTGGCTGTGCTTGAGGGTTTCTCCCCAGGCCATCTGAAACATAAATCAGTGACTGACACGCTGAGGAAATATTCAGACAGGAGGTCCCGGAGAAGATCTGGGGTTCCCAGGACTGAGGTCACTCAGCAGGGGGCAGTGCCCCAGGTAGAGGGCCCCCGGGTTTCTGGGTTCCTGACCCTCTCAAGGGTTGTGCTGTGGGAGCTCAGCCGGTTCTCTTGCTCTGTCCTATGAAAGCGATGAGTGTCCTCGTGTCTAGAGCCAGCCCACGCCCACCAGCACTGGCACATATATGGCTCAGGAAATGTTTGCTGAATAAAGAATACAAGAAAAACAGCACACCACGTTTAAGCTTCCAAACACTTTAATGTTCTTTTGTTCCCACCAAGACCAAGGCTGTACAAACAGGTGTCAAATTCTGGACCATTAGGGTGTGAGGAAGGGCCATGTGCATCAAAGTCCCTGCTGCCCTCCCTCCCACCTGTGTTCAAGGCGTGTCGCAGTCAGCACACCGCTTTCTTCTGTGACAGATCACCCAAGGGTGCTAGAAGCACTTGGCGACCCTGGGACAAGGGTGAGGCCATGTGGCAGGGGCAGGGAGCACTCACACCACCCAGGCGCATTTCAGACAGGGACTCGCTGGTGGGCACATGGAGGGGGGATGCCATAGCTGCCCCTCTCCTAGCACTCAGCTGAGCAGATGGGGCTACTTCCTAAGGTGAGAGAGACCGAGGGGCTGATAGGAGGGTAAATGAGCACCTAAGTATCATTCACACCCAATGTGTCTAGTGAGATGAAAAGTTTTCTAGCCGCTATTTTCTCAGAAAGTGTGGGGAGAAAATAAAAAAGATGATTGAATCACCTTTCATTCTGCCATTTTTGTCATTAATTTGATGGCTCTTGGTTTTGATACGGCAGAAATAAAAATTTAAAGGTAAAAGACCAACTCAGAAGCTGTGGAGGAGCCATTGCATAAAAAACACAGAGGGTATGACTGGCTGGCATGGCTCAGTGGTTGAGCATCAACCTATGAACCAGGAGGTCACGGTTCGATTTTGGGTCAGGGCACATGCCCAGGTTGCAGGCCTGATCCCCAGAAGGGGGTGTGCAGCTGGCAGCCAATCAATGATTCTTTTTCATCACTGATGTTTCTCTCTCTCTTCCTCTCCCTTCCCCTCTGAAATAAAAAAAACGCAACAAACAACAACAACAAAACACACAGAGGGCTCTCCCCCAGCCCAGACGCGCTCCTGTGCTGCTCAGGTAAGTTTGCCAAGAGCTCCATCCAGCGGGGAAGCCACTCATTTGATCTTGGCAATTGAGACAGAAAACAATGCACATGCACTTATTTCACTGAACTGAAAACTGACCAGGTCAAGAGGGTAAGGTCCCTACTGTTCCTGCAAGAGAACCTGTGAAGCAGATTTAGGAAAAGACTGAGGCTTAGGTAGCAGCCTGCCTCCAAAGACTGCTGGGCATCAGTAACTTGTGCATTTATTTTCTCAGAGTCCCATTGACACAACCTTGCTCTCGGTCCCACCCAAGTCCCTTTGGAATCGACCTCATCAAAGTGGATATTAAATCAAAACATTCTGTACTGCAAGCTCCCTTTGGAGTGTATATGAAAAGCCAAAACTGAAAAGGAAAAAAATCCTTACACCTTCTCTCCACTAAAGCATCTCTCCACGACGTCAGCTCAGAATATACCAAATAACATGCCAAAGAAAAAAGTAAGTATAAGTTTGACTAAATAACCAGAAGTGACCACCCCCCACCCCTGACCCCACGCAGTACCACCCCTCCCTCCCCCGCTACACCGTGGTTATCTTCTTATCCTTGGTGGCCTGCTTGATGGCGGCCTGCTCGCAGATGATCTCCTTGAGCCGCTGCAGCCTCGTGTTCTGGGTGGTCTGGTCTCCCACGCCCGTCTGGCTGCGGTGCAGCAAGGTCAGGGCATGGATGTACTCCAGCTCCGTGTACTTCACGCCCTGGTCCACCACCAGGTTGAGCAGCTCGTCAGCCGTGTTGTACAGCATCTCGTAGTACTGCCTGAGGGAGGAAGAAGGACACTGCTCACCATCTCCTGAGCGATCTGTGTGGCTTTAGCGGTCATGGATCTGCTGTTTATAACTGACTTGGTTTATTTATTCACTAAACATTGGTTAATCACTGGGTGTTGTTCTGGGCCCTAGGAATATGATAGATAACGAGACAGGCCCGATTTCTGTCCGCTTGGAACTCACTGAGCCTCTTCATGACCATAGGAAGCCCTAGGAGATCTCATGTCTTTCAGAGTTCAATCAAGACTTCCTCCTATTGTGCATTTACCTCCAAAGAAAGAAAAGCAGGGCACAAAACCAAGAGGGAGAAAAACAATCATCGGGTGGCCAATGCCAACAGTGTTTGTCTCATTCAGTTCTTCACTCATTGCAGGCTCTGTGCACTGCTTGGTTTTCTCCTCTGAAAGTGGGATAATAATAGTACCTACCTCTTAGGATTATTGGAAAAATTAATCAATCTATATAAAGCACCTAGAATGGTGCCCAACACAATTATACATGCTCCATAAACATTAGCCGTTAGAAAATAATAACAATAATGTATTAACAGCAATGCGATAATGGTAATCGTATACAATGATGAGCAAGCCATGGTTTCTTTCCTCAAATGGCTCAGAGACAAGTAGGAAAGGTAATGAGAAGCAGAGAAATAATCACTGCATTTTTGCTGACAAGTTCATGTCCACATGCTGTCATTTCCCCTCGCGGCACTTAGTGAGCTGTGATTATCCCCTTTCTCAGATAAGGAAACTGAAAGCACAGAGGAGTTAGGGGGCTTGCCCATGTCAGAGACAGCCAGTGACTGTGCCGGGTTAGGAACCTGGGCTTCTGACTCTCAGTCCAATATGCTTTCTTCAAGGACAGAGCCGAGAAGAGCATGCCAAGTGCCACACGAAGGTGTTAGTGCCTGAGGAAGGGGAAATCACATCTCGCTGAGGGGCGGGTGAAGAATCCAGGAAGTCTTCATGGGGTAGGACCCTGCCAGGCAGGGTTTACAGGGAGCAAATTCTAGATTAAGGGGAAAGAGAAGAGCATGAGCAAAGGCAGGGCCGGGGGGCCTGGGTAGCCTTCGAAGTGTGGCTGAATGATGGGGAGTCGCAGGAAAAGACAGAAAGTCAAAAGGTAGAGAAGAGAGTCTGACATCAGGCTAGTTGAGTTGATAAAGGGCCCCTCCCCATTCCCAAGGCCCCACTGAGGAGAGCAGAGGCGCTACTCCCAGTCCATCTTCTGGACGATTAATGAGATGGTATGCAAAGTGGTCGGGGAGGGGACTTAGCCAGGACTGAGGGGACAGACCAAGGTAGCAGGTTCAAGGAACCTCGGGGTTGAAGGGATCTTGTGGGTCTATCAGGACCCCCTGCTCAGAAATCTTCACTCCTGGGCTTGGGGCCTTGGATTTGTTTCTTCTTTATCAGCAGAAGCTTGAAAAAATGGGTGTCCCAGGGAGAACTAAGCCCTCCTGGGGCAAGGAAGCCCTCTGGGGTTCCATAAGCTCAAGAATGTTTTACGAATTGCCGGTACAATGAGACGGGTCATTGAGAGCCCTGGTGTCTTCACAGGGCTATTTCCTTTTCCTGCTCTGCCAACCTCCTGTTCTAAATAAAATACTCTGTTTAAAAACAAATAGGGTAAGGAATTCTCCTTTGTGACTATGCCCTACATAGTGGCTGGAATGTAAAGTGCTCATCCTAGACGGCAAGTGCCGGAGTGACTCCTGGCAGCAACTCGTTCAACATCCTGTGCAGGGTCCTCTTGGGGCCGGTTCCCTGTAGTGGTTCCAAATGGGTGTTCAGTTTAACCTCCCGGACCCACGTACTCAGGAATCAATGCTCAAGGATAACCCTGAATGCAGACAGAGGCACTGCTGAGAGAAGGGACATGTGCTTTCTCACCTCCAGAGGTCTGGGGCCCAGTACCGGCTCAAGTCAGAAACTTGTTTGAAGTTTCATGTTAAGCATAAAATCCACATGACCTACTCCCCCTCCATAACAAATCTGTTGTAATTAAAAAAAAAAAAAACTAATTTAAAAAGACCCAATGCAGTAGGAAGAGGCACCCTATTTACCCGGGGGCTTCACACATCTTCTGGCTTCCTCCCCGTTTGGACAAATGAGGCCCGCCTTATCTAATTCTGGTTCCCTCACATGCACAGGTGAGCCAGGGACTGCCCATTTGTAGAACTAAGCACACATTTAAAAATGTCTCAGGAAGAACACACGTTCAAATCTAGATCTACAAATGGAATGAGAGAGAATTAGGGCCCGGGTTTCTTTCAAAGCTCCAAGGGACTAGGTAGCTGCAGTTCTACACTGGAGGTTCCCACACTGCAGAGCGCCCGGGGAGCGTGGGAAAAGTACCGGCTCTGAGGCCCCTCCCCAGGTCCTCCTATTCCCAAAGGTTCTGAGGCAGCCAGGAGGCTGGGCCAGGAGGCTGTGCAGGGTCTGCTTGGTGTGGGAACAGATGCAGAACCTGCCCGTCTCCTTGAGCCGAGGACCAATAGCATTAGGGAAGGAGACAGAAGCAGTAAGTGGCTGTAATGCTTTTCTATGAGATGAAACCAAAAGAATTGGGTTTCTTTGTATTATGATGCTGATATTTTCATCATTTATCTTAAGTATCATTGAACCCATCAGATCAGATGAAATTGTATTTATCTTGAAAGAAATCGGGTGAATTGTTTCCAGAGGTGAATGGCTGGTTTTCTACAGAGACCGCTATTCCACGCTGGGAGCAAACAACGAAAGGAAGAGGCCCGGATTTCTAGTCGTGGGTTCCCCAGTGTGATGAGTGATAAAGGACATGCCACCCGAGTCCTTAATGTTGCAATATCCTCTGTGCAATGAAGATCTTTATAAATCCAGAATGACACTCTGGCGCGGACTGAGAGACTAAAGAGTCCTCAGGAGCCTCGGATAAACAGCGCCCCGGAATCGCGAAGCTGAGTTATTAAACAAAATTGACAGGTAACTGATGGTGTATTTTCTGTAGTTAGGGGGAAAAAACCCCCCATAACCACGATGATATATTAGACCATAAAGAAACATAAATATTTAAAGGCAGAATGAAATTCATTCATCTTTCAGAATAGCACCCAGTCGCAAATAGTACTAAATCAGCCCGGCAGTGGGGAGGTGGAGAAAAGGTGCCATGAGGTGCCCTGAGGAGAAAATAGGAAAGTGCCCCAAACTACACAACTGGAATGAGCTTCTATGATAAACATTGCCATGCTGAAATGAAATCACGCAAACCAACTGGGATAAATAATTTATCAGCACTTATTGAGGCCTCGGGAAAATGAAAGCTTGATCTTTTATCACCAAGTATTAAAACAGCAGCCCTGGCTTCCCAGGCACGTTTTACGGTAGATAGCACTTGACTTAGCTGCTGGGATGGGATTGCATGCTGCCGTGAGTTTGACATGCTTGGTTTAGACCCTTTTGGCTCATGACTTGTGGAGCGAGTCTCTCCATAGCCCATAACATCACAGGGCCAATGGCTAGACCTAGACCAAATGTCCCCTTCTGGAAACTGGAGTTTATTGTCTTCCTGATGGGTGGGACATCTTGTGAGAGGAAGTCCCCTCTTGTGTACATGGTAATATTAATAATAATATCTACCTTTTAGCTCCATTAACACAATCCACCCCTGGGTGTAGGTACTGCAGTCATCTATTATTTTTAAATATTTTTATTGATTTCAGAGAGAGGAAGGGAGAAGAGATAGAAACATCAATGATGAGAGAGAATCATTGATCGGCTGCCTCCTGCACGCCCCCTACTGGGGATCAAGTCCACAACCTGGGCATGTGCCCTTGACTGGAATCAAACCTGGGACCCTTCAGTTCACAGGCCAATGCTCTGTCCACTGAGCCAAACCAGCTGGGGCCAATCATCCATTATTTATAGACTATTGGCGTGGTGCACGATTCATGCACATTGAAAGAAAGTTAATTAGAAGAAATATTTTAATATCACTATTTGCCCTTTCTCTATAATAGAAGTGTCAACCAAATTCACGGTCAACAATGACAGATTGAAACACACACGTGTGACTGGCGCCAGCGAGAGCTTTATAATGTATCGCACATGCGTGAGTCAATGTTTATTTTTAAATTTCCAGTGTGCGTCATATGTACCAGCCGGCCGGTTGGTGGGACGGACATCGAGTCGGTCACTAAGCCTTTTCTATATATAGATTGCCAGTGCGTGTCATATGTGCCGGCTGGTCAGACGGTTGGATGGATGGATAGTCGGTCACTTAGCCTTATATATCTATAGATGAGTAAACAGAGCTTTAGCAAGTGATTTGTCTGAGGCCCAGAATGGAGGGCTTTGAACCCCGGACTCACTCCAAAGCCACCAGAATACAGAAATATCTGAAACTGTAAAAAGCAAAAATACTAATTTCGAAGAATACTTGTGTAGCTAATTCATTTTTAGTATGATTTAGGAAATATGAATTTAATAAAATTCGCATAATGACAACTCTCTGCCTTCTATTGTATGGTGGCAATACAAGCTAGTATTTTGGCAATTCAAAATTCACTTCCACACTCTGCAGTTATAGTTGAGTAACAGTGGGCTTGATTTGGGAATTCAGTGCTCTAAACCACATAACGAAGTCACTTTGTAAATCCAGCATTTAGAACTCACAGGAAAGCTTTTTGGCTTTCATTTTGTCACCTCCCTTTTCTCCTCCCTTTTTGCCCCTCCAAGCTAGTAGTAATGGACGAGGTGACCTTTCTTTCTAAAAGCTGGCTGCCCTTCTGACTCATTACTTCCTCCAGGAAGGGAGAGAATTAAGTGATTTCACTGTAAAGACTTTCTCATTTAGTCCTTCTTAGATAGAGAGTGTGTTAATGTCAAGAAGAGACTTAGGCTCTGAAGTTGGCTTTTTAAAGTTTCAAAGACAGAACAATTTACCGGAATACAGCTTAGTAATAATTGCTGCTCCTCATGTGCCTTTTAGCCAATAGTTGCAGCATTTTGA